CTCGCTTGGACCCCAAACATTGTGCTTCGAAGAATCGATCGTGTATTATATATACGGAGCAATCTACGTGGTGCAACCTACGTGGTGCCATCTATGTGGTGCAACCAATCTCTTGCTCAACTTGAAGCTGCCCTCTCTACTGCTCGTGCAAACATCCCGCCCTCCAACCCGCAACTTGGTCGCAAGACCTCTTAAGACCGTGACGGTGGGTACCAAATGGCACTTGCCAACGTTACCGACCCCGACGACGACAGCGATAACGACGACGACGACGACGACGCCGACCACGACTACGACGACACCGACGACGTCTCCAACTTCGACGACGACGACAACGACGACGACAACACCGACGACGACGACGACGACGATGACAGCGCCAACGACGACGACGTCGACGACAACGACGACGACGACGAAGACGACGAAGACGACGACGACGACGACAACGTCGCCAACGAAGACGACGACGACGAGGGATGAGGGAGGACGACGACGGCGACGACGACAACGACGAGGGAGGACGGCGACGATGACGACGACGACGACGGCGACGAAATAGGAGGGACAACGACGAAACGCCGACGAAGACTATGAGGGAGGAAGGACGACGGAAACGACGACGACGCCAACACGACGACGACGACGACGACGAGGAAAGACAGAGGACGACGACGGCGACAACGACGACGACGAGGGAGGAGGGAGGTCGGCGACGACGGCGACGACGCAAGATCGCGCGCGCTCGCTTTTGTTGAAAATCCGTGTTGCGAAACCATGTATTGTTGTAAGTTTTTTGAAAACTCGATTTTGAAATCCGTCCGAACCCCAAGGTTTTTGAAGGATTGCAGCATGCGCGCGACGACGCGCGCGTGTGCACTTCGTTTTATTTTTCACAAGGGATTTTTGAAAGTGTAGGATCTTCGATAAACGAGACTGCGCGCATAGTATTAATTGCAGAGGATGGCGGGGGGAGTGATACTGGTTTGGCTGAGATTGTACGTACTCATATTCAAGATGGACGAGTGCGTAGAGGAAATATGAAATCGCAGTACCCAAGGGAGGATTGTTAACTCTGGTAGGGGGTAGAGTCTATTCTTTTTAATAGAATTATTTTCTGTTTGCAGTGAGTTGCCAACTCCATTGTTGACGCAATCATCCCACCCACCCACCCGCAACTTGATTTGCATCAGCCAATGTTGCGGCGATTGCGAAGAGTGCTTGGTGTTGGCTGGTGCATGTTTGCGGCCGCGCTGGACCGCGCATGCCCGCGCGCGCAGGGGCTAGCTAGTTTGTCGCGACCGGCGCGGCCGCGGTGGCGCTGACCGCTGGGCACTTCTGGGCGGGCACTTCGATGCAAGTCGGCGACTTGGGCGAGCGCGGTACCATGGCAATGTCGGCAACGTTACACACGAGGATGATGGTAGCGATAGTGGTGACGATGATGACGACGACGACGGCAAGGCAAGTGACGGCGCCGATGGTGATCATGCCGACGACGCCGACGGCGTCCTCGCGTCGGTGATGGAGGTTTTGGAAGGATTTCGACATGCGCGCGGCCGACGCTCGAGAGTGGCCCGCATGGTACAATTTGACACGGGCTGTGCCCCTCCGAGCACGCGCGCCACGGCATTCGAATGATTTTGACTGCGGCGCGAGAGGCCCGTGTGGCAGAAGTTAGTGAGAATGTTGAGAAACTCTTGGTTTTGTGAAGAGTTCGCAAGAGCGCGGGCGCAACCTTTTCTTGACAATTGGCGTTGCAAACCATGTGTTTGTTTGTAGGTTTTCGGGGCAATCGACTTTCACATCCTGACGAAACCGAAGGTTTTAAACAGCATTGTGGCATGCGCGTCTCGACGACGCGCGCGTGCGCATGTCGCTTTGTTTTTGGCGAGGAATTCTTGCGGTAGCACGCGCGCAGGGGCGTTCGAACGATTTCGACACGCACGCGCAAGAGGCCCGTTTGGTAGCATTTAGTGAAAATGCTGAATCCCACGGTTTTCGTAAGAATTCGCGAGCTGTTTCTGAACATTCTTGTTGCGGCGCCGTGTGGTTTCTATGCGTTGGCGGGGCACTCGGAAGTAACATCCTTGCGAAACCAACAGTTTTTGACAGATGTTGGCGCGCGACGGCGCGCGCGCTTGCACTTCGTCCATTTTGTTCGATTGGCTTCGCGAATACCGCTGGCATTTGATAGACGAATGTGCGCGCATACTTATTTGTGCTAAGGATCCGGTCGGGGGCCGATGCTTGCATCCCTGGGATGGTTGGAAGTCATTTTTATAATGGGCGATGGGGTAGAATCGCATGCACATTGCAATACGAAACAACCTTAGTTCCGATGGGAGGAGATCATATCATCTAACTCGAACGGAGGATCTATGTTGGCAATCAGTGTTGTGCAGTTTTTGTGGTGCAACCAATGTTTTGCGCTGGCTGTCGCATCGCTGCGGCCGCGCTAGCCCGCGCAGGTTCGCGCGCAGTTAGTCTTGCGCGACCCACTCGGCCGCGGTGGCGCTGACCGATGGGCACTTCCAGGGCGTGTCGCAGGCCGCGATGACGCGCGGCCATTTCAGTGCCAGTCGGTGATTCTGGCGGGCGCGGTATCATGGCGACGTCGGCAACATCACACACGATGATGATAGTAACGATGGTGGTGATGACCATGGCGACGGCATGGCCTGCGCTGGCGCCGATACTGATCGCGCCGATGACGATGACGGTGTCCACACGCCCGTGACGAAGGATCCTGACCAATTTGTACATGCGCGTGCGGCCGATGGGCGCGAATGCATCATTCGAAACAGATCGTACCCGCCCCCCGCAGGACGCGCGCCAGCGCGTTCGAACCATTTCGCTTTGCACGCGCGGGAAGTCCTCTTGGTCGCAGTTGATGAAGCGGTTGAAGAACCGATGTTTTTTGCATGAATTCGCAGGAGCGCGTGCGCGGATATGTGTTTGGAAAGTCCTGTTGCACAGCGGTTGGTTCTACACGTTCTCGGCACCGGGAATTTAGACTTCCGTGCGAAATTTGCGGTTTTGCCCCGCAGGTTCTGCCATGCGCGCGCGACGACGCGCGCGCGTGCAAGTCGTCACATGGCCCACAACATGTTGTTGAACATGGATGATTTCTGATAAACAGGTGTGCGTGCACAGTGTCTTGTGCAGAGGGTGGTGGGTAGGGGGTCGAACGGTTGTGATGACATGCGTTCATATTTCGAATGAGCGATGGGGCAACATCATGTGTATGTTGCGTTAACCCACGGGGTACCGATAATTTCGGCCTTGGGAGGATGGTTGGTTCTCGTTCGTTTTGAAAAGGGACGATCAATGTCGTGCAATCTAGACGGCGACGGAGGGGCGACAAGTTGGCGACGGGGCGGCGACGGCGGCCACATAGCCGCCAGAGCGGCACAGCGGCCCAGACGACGGGCGGCGACGGGGCGGCGACGAGGTGGCGACGGCGGCCACATAGCCGCCAGAGCGGCACAGCGGCCCAGACGACGGGCGGCGACGGGGCGGCGACGAGGCGGCGACGGCGGCCACATAGCCGCCAGAGCGGCACACAGGCCCAGACGACGGGCGGCGACGAGGCGGCGACGAGGTGGCGACGACGGCGGCCACATGCTACCAGAGCGGCGCACCGTCGCAGACGACTGGCGGCGGCGAAGCGGCGACGGGGCGGCCCAGTTCGTTTGAAAACATGTCAGAACCTTTAAGTGCAAACGCTATTTGGAGAATACGGTTGAAGGAAGCGGATAGGTAGTAGAAGGAGCAGGAGAGGGAGAGAGGGGGGGTGTCAAAGGGAGTCGCAGGTGCGAGACAGATGGGGCGCAGAAGGACGAGGACAAGCCGAGCGAGAGAAGGATGAAGGGGACCGCATCTTGGAAGCGGGGGGGGGGAGTGCGTCCGATGGCTGGGACGATGTTGGCATCCGTCTCGGAGGAGCAGTCTGGCTGCCGCATCGACGTCGACAAGACGGGCACCATGTGCAGGACTGTCGCGCCCGCCGCTTATCGTCGTCGTCGCCGCCGTTCTTCGTTGTTCGTCGTTCGTCGTCGTCGTCGTCGTGGGAGGAGAACAAGGAGGAGGAGGAGGAGGAGGAGGAGGAGGAGGAGGAGGAGGAGGAGGAGGAGGAGGAGGAGGAGGAGGAGGAGGAGGAGGCTGAGGAGGAGGACCAAGAGGAGAAGGAACCACCAGCAGCTCGCTGCGAGATTCGGCGCGTTTTCCCCTCGTTGGGCCTCCTGGGAGGCCCTCGTCACCACCGCCCGAGTCGCCTCGGGGTCCTGGTCAGAAGGCGCCCCAGGAGAGGTCTTGGGAGGAGCGGTACTGATACCTTTCTGTTGGAGGTTTCTGGAGATTGTCTAATTATTCGGTGGCCCCGCAACGTCCGTTACGGGGGGCGCCCCCCCTTCACCCCCCCCTGTCCCCGTTACAGTGCCGAACCGAACGTACGCGGGGGGGGAGGGGTCGGTTTCCACCACATGCAAGGCGTGGTGTTCACAGACAGGCAGGCTGTGGAGCTGACAGGCGTGCTTTGGTGCTCACACACGCGTGCTGCAGCGCTCGCAGGCCTCCCCCCCCGCCTCCCTCGTGAGGGCTTGGGTTTTTCAGTCACCGCGTTCCTCCTCGAACCCGCCCCTCAGGGGACAAGTTCGGTTCCCAGGGCTATCAGAATGGCTCCCCGACGAGCCACTTCCCCCCCACCCCGGGGAGGCGGTCCGGACCTGGGGAGGGAAAGGAAGGGGCGGAAGGGGGGGAAAAAGGGGAGACAGACGAAATAGGTGGGGGAGGGGAGGGGAGGGAGGGTGGAAGGGGTGGAAGGGGTGGAGGGGGGAGGGAAAGGAAGGGGTGGAAGGGGTGGGGGGGAGGGGAGGGCCCCTCCCCGTCTTGGGACGTTGGGGGGGGGGCCGCTGGCCGCCCGCCGGGAAGGGGGGGGGGGCGCGCCCCCGAGGGTTCGGCTCACCGGCACGCGGGAGCAGATCGCGAACGCCAAGCAGATGATCCTGGCGGAGGCCCGCGGGGGAGGGGCTGCGGCGGCAGAGAGCGGCGAGCGGGGGTTCCTCGTAGGACGGAGCCCCGACCCCCTCGAGTTATGGTAGGAATCCAGGCGGGAGGCGTTGCGCCATTTGCGGCCTCTGGGGGCCCTCACCGGCCCTCGGGAGCGCCACACAACGACTCGGGATGAGACGCCGGTCCCAGGGAACGGGTCCAGACCGCTGGGGGCCCACGTCACGAACAAGGCATAACGTCGGGGCTCTGAGAGCAGGGATAGGGGCGAGTTCACCCCGTTTTCCTCGGCCCCCCCCCAGCTCCTTCCATGTATTTTGAGCAAGTGTTCATGTTTTCGTCTCCTCGTGTCTAGAGGCCGAGGATCCCTGGGGCCGCCACTGCAGCGCTGCGCGCGGCCCGCGCGGCCCGTGCCGCGGCCCTCCGCGCCCTGGGGCGGCGAGACGTCGCCGTGGCGGGAAAGGCGGGACAATTCATGACGTCGGGGCTCTGGAGGGCCGGGGTAGGGGCGAGGAGGCGGAGGAGCTGGTGGCTCCCCGAACGCGTTCCGCCACTCGAGAAAGTGCCTACTCGCAAGCGTCCGCAACGAGACACACGCGTTCGCCACGATGTGACTCATCGTAGACCCCCTGCGGCGGGCCCAGGCCGTTGGCGAGTGGTTCCCTTGCGAGTGGTGGAGGGCGCCCCTCTCGTGGAGGCGGGGGGGGAGGCCGGCGAGGAAGCGGCGAGGAAGCGGCGAGGAAGCGGCGAGCGCAGGAGGCCGAGGCGGGCGGCGGAGGGCGACGCGGGGGGAGGTGCGGAGGCGGGCGGAGGGAGGCGGGCGGGGAAGGCAGAGGCGGAGGAAGGCAGGCGAGGAGCGTGGAGGCGGCGCCAGACCCCCTCGCGTCAGGAAACAGAATCACGACGGGAGGTTTGTCGCTACCTTCGGTCTCCAGCGGCCCTCGCCCGGCCTCGGGAGCGTCAGAAAACGACTCAGGACGCAAAGCCGGTCATGGGGAAAGGGTCGGGACCTCTGGGGGTCGACGTAATGTAAAAATCATTATCCCGGCAAAGCAACCTAACAGCGATGTGTAGAAGCATATCTGAAAGCATTCCCCTTAAGATTCAGATGAACATCCAGTTGTAGAATTCTGCTGTTCTCGCAGTCGTAGTCGCATTCGCGATGACAGTCGCAGCGGCAACGGCAGTCGCAGTCACAGCCTCAGCCTCAGCCTGCCTCAGCCTCAGCCTGCCTCAGCCTCAGCCTGCCTCAGCCTCAGCCTCAGCCTGCCTCAGCATCAGCCTGCCTGCCTCAGCCTCAGCCTCAGCCTCAGCCTCATCAGCCTCAGGCCTCAGCCTCAGCCTTCAGCCTCAGCCTCAGCCTGCCTTCAGCCTCAGGCCTCAGCCTCAGCCTGCCTCAGCCTCAGCCTGCCTCAGCCTCAGCCTCAGCCTCAGCCTGCCTCAGCATTCAAAAGCCTGTGGCCCAGGAATGGAGTTCTGGGAACTAGAAGAACACGAAGTGGCCTACAGTTGGCTCCGGGCATTCAAAATCATGCCCAGGAATGGAGTTCTGGGAACTTGAAGAGCACGAAGTGGCCTACAGTTGGCTCCGGGCATCCAAAATGTGGCCCGGGAATGGAGTTCTGGGAAATCGAAGAGCACGAAGTGGCCTACAGTTGGCTCCGGGCATCCAAATGTGGCCCGGGAATGGAGTTCTGGGAAGTCGAAGAGCACGAAGTGGCCTACAGTTGGCTCCGGGCATCCAAAATGTGGCCCGGGAATGGAGTTCTAGCAGCGCCAAGAGCGATTTTGCGAGGATGTCCCAAGCGATTTGGGCTTCGGCGGCAGCCGTTCCGGGTCCCGCCCCAACCCCCCTGTGGAGTCATCTGCTGCTCTCTTTCGAGACCACTAGAAACCTATCAGCAAAAGCTGTTAGGTAAAATCATGACGTCGGGGGTCTGGGGCGGGAGGTGGGCGAGAAAGCGGAGGAGGCGGTGGACGCGGGGAGGGGGGGCGAAATGATCGGAGCTTGATGGACCTCCGACCCTGACGCGTCGATTCGCGAATCGGCCGTTCTCGCTTCGCGAGAGGGCGTCGCGGCCGTCCTTTTTGCGGCTCCGGGTCCGTCGGCTTCGGTCCTAGGCCGTGTTCACTAAATGGTGGTGTACTAAAGGGAGGCTTGTCCACCGCCGAGATGAGGATGAATGCTTCTCACGTCGAAGTGAATACCCGACCGCGGATCTCCGCCGCCGAACGAGGCGGCACCGGCCGCATTTTGGGGAGGGCCCCTCCCCCGATCCAGGGATTTGGCGACGGCGCGCCAAATCCATGGATCGCCAATCCATGTTTGCGCGCCCCCGAAGGTGGGCGAGAAAGCGGAGGAGGCGGTGGAGGAGGAGGAGGAGGAGGAGGAGGAGGAGGAGGAGGAGGAGGAGGAGGTGAAGGAGGAGGAGGATGATGATGATGATGATGAGGAGGAGGAGGAGGAGGAGGAGGAGGAGGAGGAGGGGGAGGAGGAGGAGGAGGAGGAGGAATGAGGACGGATGCTTCGCACGTCGAGGTGAGCACCTGACCGCACTTGCGTCCGCTTCCTCTGGCATGCGCGTCTTCACGAGTACACCTCCTGCTCCTCGGCCCGCCTCGTCACCTCTGCTGCCGTCAGGGTGCCCTGCTGGGGTGATTTGAACGTTTTGTGCAAAGTTGGTTTCGGCAGACTTCCCCAGAGAAATCCTGGGGGCATGGTGAGGATGAGATGGAAGAGGAGGAGCAGGATACTGATGAGTGAAAAAAGGAGAAGGAGGAGGAGGAGGAGGAGGAGGAGGAGGAGGGAATAGGGGGGGAAGGGAGAAGGAGGAGGAGGAGGAGAAGGAGGAGAAGGAGGAGGAGGAGGAGGAGGAGGAGGAGGAGGAGGGAGGAAGTTGGATGATGATGGGGGGGTGGAGGAGGGAGCTCAGGGATCAGGAGGAGGAGGAGAGGGAGGAGTGATGAGTAGGAGGGAGCTTCACGCTTTCGAAGCTTTCTGTTGAATTTTTGCTGGTTGTTGGAAGAGTCCCATGAGCGGGCGACCGTGGCGACAGTTGCGCAGTTGGCAGCCCCCTTGGAGGCAAGCTTTCATTTGGATGGGCGTGGGAACCGTCACTCCGATGGACCTCCCAGGAAGTCCCGAACGTGACGACAGCTGTTCAGCTGGCAGCCCCGACAGAGGCGAGCTTTCATTTGGGTGCGCGCGGGGCGTCGCTCAGCTGGACCTCCTAGAAGCTCGCGGAAGTAGAGACAGTTGCGACGTTGGCGAGGCGAGCCCTCGCTTGGGCGCGAGTTCGGCTTCGCTCCGCCAGACCTCGCATGCTCCCCCGAATGTGGCGACAGTTTCGACTCTTGCAGCGCTTAAAGAGGCGAGCTCTCATCTGGGTGTGCCTTCGGCGTCGCTCCGCCAGACCTCGCATGATCCCCCGAACGTGGCGACAGTTGCGACGCTGGCAGCGCCCAGAGAAGCGAGCTCTCGTTCGGGTGCGCCTTCGGCGTCGCTCCGCCAGACCTACCATATGCCCGCGAAGGTGGCGACAGTTGCGACGTTGGCATCCCCCCCAGGGCGAGCGCGACAGGAAAGGAAGCAGGATGCAGGGAGAAGGAATGCGGGAGGATTGAGCAAGCAGCACTCTATTCAGAACAAGGAGTACCTCAACCAAAGAGGGTTGGGAAATAACTTAGACTCCACCCGCATGCCGAGACCGATCTTGACAGCCCCCTCCGCATGTTATGTTTCCCTAGCTCGTTTGTATGGTCGTGTATCTTACGTACCCACAGGTACCATCGCGCGCAGGCCGGTATCAGTCCCCCACCCCCTTCGCCATCTCCTGACTAAGCTCAGCGCGGTGCACATGCATTGATGTAAGAAGTGCGTGTTGTGGCATAACCTGTCGAACAAATCAATGGGGAGCACATGCGCTGACCGTGGAGCGCGTATGCCATAACCATGCCAAGTGATTGTTTCACCCACAACTGAAAATAGTAGTGCGAGAGCTACCAAACTGATGTTTGGTCAACATCACGTTGCCAGATTTCTGCTCGCGCGCACTCTTTGATGCCATAAGAAAGCGTAGGTCTTGGCCACTCGAATAGATCAGAACGTGCAGGCCACACGCATGCATGTCGAGACCATTCGGCAGCCATCGCGGACCCGCCAGCTCTCCCGAATCATACCACGTGGTGCATCCGCATTGATGCAGCATGCGCTGAGTGCACGGAGCAGTATCAAATAAGACCATGCGGGAGACATGCGCGTTCCGCCCCGCGAGCGTGCCTAAATCCGTACAAAGACACCATTTGCTAAGCATTTCATAATAGAGTTCTTCAAACGGTTGCGGAAACCACATCGTTAGATTTGCCCGGGTTTGAGGATTTTCGCGCGCGCACTTCCTCACCATCACGCTCATCGCCGCCGCATCGCGTCATCGTCAGCCGCCATTGCCGCCGTCATCGCTACAGCACCTTGAGCATCGAACCATTGACACCATCGTCAGCATCGGCGTTACCAGCATCGGCGCCGCTACCATCGCTACTACTATCATCGTTGCCGCCGTTTTCGACGTCATCATGATATCGCGCCCGCCCGAGACGCCAACCTGCATTGAAGTGCCAACACGCCAGCGCGGCCCTTGAGCCGCGCTGGAAAGTTGCCCTCGGTAAGCGCCATCGCGGCCTCATAGGATGTGCCAAACCAGCTGGCCGCTCTGCGCGCGAGTTTACGCGCGCAAACGCGGCCGCAAAGATGCGCCATCCAGGGCCAAGCAGTCATCGCAAACGCCCCCGCAGTGGTTTTGCAAAACAAGTTGCGGGTGGGAGGGTGGGATGATTGCGCGAGCAGTGAAGTTGACAATTCATGGGTTGGTTGGTACAGATGAGCTGCACCACCTGCACTGCTCCAAATGGCTTGAACCACATAAATCGCACCACAGAGGTTGCATTCCGTAGATTGCAGCTCATGGTGCGCATATGGGTTATACAAGACCCTACGTTGTGGGTTCCACGCTGGCAAAGCACGATGGTCCCCACATGCCGTAGGCTCAGCGCAGTGGTTTCGTTGGGCTCTCCCCTTGGACGCGGGCGTCACGCGCAGTCTGCGAGCTGTCTCTGCGTCGTTCTCGTTCTGACGGCCCCGGAGAGTTCTCGCCCACATCCCAGGGATCCGCTTTCGTCCGCGGGGCGTGCGTGGTTGTTTCCTTGCCAGGGGCTTCGATCACGCAACGCACCCCCTCCACCCCCCCCGCAGGCTCCCTTTGCAAGACGGCCTCCGCCGTATTCGTGCCTCCTCGACGCCTGGAGACCCTCGGGGCATCCCGAACGGTGCGGTGACCACGCCGCGGGGTGAGTCAGATGGGGATCTGGGGTGACGGCACGGCTTCGGGACCTGGGCCGTTCTCCCGAGGACGTCTCGGCCAGACTGGTGCCTCGAAGGTCCCAGCACCGCGCGGCGACTCAGGGAAGGTCTCCGGCGACCCCGGAGCGAGGTCGCAGCACGGTCAACCCACACAGTAAGGATGCGCGGTTTTCCAAGGTTGCCCTTGTATCCTTCTCTTTTCGGCCCATCCGCGGCCGCTTTCACTGGCTGCGCCCCGCTCGCAAAGCGTCGGCGTGGCTCTCGGCTCTCCACAAGGCCCTTGCATTCTAAACCTGCGCCCTGATTCTACAGGTTGACTGCACCACGGTGGTAATTAGCGCTTTCTCGTGGTGAGGTCTTTGGGGGGTTCGAGGTCGCCGCACGCTTCGGGACCCCCAGGATCCAGATCCTCATCGGGAACACTTTGGCTCCCCGTGTCGCGACGGCGGCCCCTGCGACACGCTATAGTTACCGTGTGAGCGCATAGTGTGGCGCTCCGCTCTGCGCGGGGCGGGAGGTTAACGGCAAGGCTCGGGGCGTTGACGCTGGCAGACCGGGGGGGGGGGGATGGCGTGTCGCGCCGGCTGTTCGATGAGGGCGACAGTGATGCCCATGGCCAGTCCACGATCAGAGTTCCACTGGCTTCCAGACCCTGGATTGCTTATCCAGCGCTGCCTCATCCAATGCCCCCACCGTATTCGAACGCACCCCTATCAAGGATGGGTGCCTCCCCGTCGTAGGTGTCCCAGGGTGGGGCTCCACATGCCTGGTCCGCGCGAGAGCCCCACGAAGCCTGGGATGGGCATCGGCACCTCCCCTTTGTTGGGGGCTGCTCTTGCTGAGGACCGTCTCTCGCGCAGCAGCCCGCAGTGGCGGACAAGAGTCCAGAGTCCTCCAGCGGCCCGCTCTTGTGCGAGTCCCTGGGCGCCCTGGGCCCCGCCGGCCCCCGTCCCCCCCCCCCCCCCCCCCCGCGGCCGACGGGGGGGGACGGGGGGGGCCGCCCCCCCCCCCCCCCCCCCCCCCCGCCGGCGGCGAGCGACGGGGGGGGAGTGGCGAGGAGAGGGCCTCCTCAGAAGGCGGCGGGGCCTCTCAGAGGCCCTCGCGCCCTCGGAAGAAGCCTGCGCTGCCTTCGGGGGGGGGGGGGAGGCTCAGAGGACTGCTCGGGAGGCCGAGGGGCCTCCGAGAGCCTTCCGAGAGGGCCCGCCCCTTCTGACTTCCCCCCCCCCCCCGGGGCGCGCCGATGAGAAGAAAGCGAAGCCGCTCGGGAATGGATGGAGAAAAAAAAGTGAAGCCCTCGCGCCCTCGGAATAAGTTGCCGCTGCCTTCGGGGGGGGGAGGCCCAGAGGACTGCGCGGGAGGCCGGGGGGGGGCCTCCGAGAGCCTTCCGAGAGGGCCCGCCCCTGCTCGCCTCCCTCCGAGAGGGCCCTTCGCCGACGCCCAGACCTGGCCCGGGCCGCTCGTCGGCGGGCCCCCTTTGGTCGGGGGCGGGCAGAACCCCCAACGGGGACACGTCGATTAGTGAAGTGTTTGTTGTTGGTTCTCGAGAGGGCGCCGTGGCCGCTATCTTCCAGGCTTGCGCCCGCCAGGTTTGGGTCTCGGGTCGCTTTCACTAAACCACGTTTTACACTAAAGGGGGGATCTGTCCATCCCCGACTTGTAGGCGGAGAGCGTCGGGACATTACCTCTGGCGCGGTCTGTTCGCTGGCGCTCGCTCGCGGCAGCCCACGGGCGTGCGCACTGGCAGATCCAACCACTCAGGATCACAGTCTTCGGGTTGGGAGCATGGGGCTGGCAGAAGTCCTACGGCTTCTCCTGCTCATGTGATCGTTGGCCTTGTTCGTCGTCCTCCCCTTCCTCCCCTTTCTCCCGGCTCCTTCTGTTCCTTCATGCCCGCTCTGCTCTGTGTGCGTCGATCACCCTGCCCTCCTCGCTCCCCGCGCCCCCTCCTCCTCCTCCTCCTCCTCCTCCTCCTCCTCCTCCTCCTCCTCCTCCTCCTCCTCCTCCTCCTCCTCCTCCTCCTCCTCAACCTTCGCAACCTCCTCCCTCCTCCTCCTCCTCCTCCTCCTCCTCCTCCTCTCCTCCTCCTCCTCCTCCTCTCCTCCTCCTCCTCCTCCTCCTCCTCCTCCGCCTCCTCCTCCTCCTCCTCCTCCTCCTCCTCCCTGCGGGCCAAGGGAGGGCGAGGCACGGTCAGAGCCTCGATACCCGCGCACCCTCGATCCCCCGCACCCTTCCTCGCCCTGCTCCCCTCCTCCGCCCTCCTCCCCCTCCTCCGCCCTCCTGCCCCCCCCCCCCCCCCCCGTGCTGTCGTGGGCGGGGGGGCCCCCCGCCGGAGGTCGACAAGGACCGCGCCAATGCCGCGGTGCGCCCGATGCTGGCGGGGCGCGGGCCGTGGGCCCTCTCAGACCTCCCCGCGGGGCACAGCACATCTCACGGCGGAGGGTGGAGGAGGAGGAGGAGGAGGAGGAGGAGGAGGAGGAGGAGGAGGAGGAGGAGGAGGAAGAGGAGGAGGAGGAGGAGGAGCCGAGACTGCCTCCGGGTGTCCGCACGGGGCCCCGAGACTGCCAAACCTCGTCGGTTGGCAACCCCTATCCTGGCGAATGGGTCTGGATTTGTAAGTTGGGCGCTTGTCCCTCTACTGGAGGAGTATTCGAAAATAGTCAACAAATAGTCTGGGGACTATTTGTTCAATAGTTGTTGACCACTTTGGAGTATTTTTTGAGTGTGTTTTTTTATGTTTCGCTCTAAATCCTCCTGTAGGGGGGCATGCCCGACCTAAATCTGGATCTCTGGGGCCCCAGGGGGGTCCACGTTGCAACAGAGCACTCGGCATCGGAGCATGAGAGGAAGCCGAGTGCAGTGGAGTAGGGCCTGAGTGGAGCAGGGAAGAGGAGAGTGTAGTGGATGGGAGGAGAGTGGAGTGTAGCGGAACCAGGTCTTAGTACAGTGTGATCGGATGGAGTTGGGTTGACCAGAGTAGAGTAGATCGCGTATCGTGAACTAGATTATGGTAAAGTAGTCGGGTCAGGGTCTGGGCGGGTAGAGAAGAGTTGAGAAGAGTATGGTATATTAGTAGGGCATCTCTGAGTTGTGCCGATATGGAGTGGAGTAGAGAAGCTAGGGCACGAATGGACAGAGTGGAACTTATTGTGCTATTCGTCATCGCATGCTCGTGCATGCTGTGGAAATGAACGCTTAAAGTCCATATAGCGCGGATTACAGTCTGGCAGATGTGTCTCAGGAGCATCCGTCCGCACTGCTGACCAGCTGGACCGCTGCGGCACGGGCTTTCGCGGCCGCGGTGGTCTTGGGAATGATCGTGCCACAAGCTACTGTATGCCCCGGGTCCCGCGGGCGGCATCCTCGCAGGAGCGGTCATTTTGGCACACCGCTTGCTTGGTCGCGCGAGTGCTTTTTGGGTTGCAGGGACGGGTAGCCGTGACAATTCTTGAATGGCTTGCTGAAGGCTGGGGTCGGGGCCGCTGGACGTCGGGACTGCCCCCGTCGTCCCGCCGGGGGGAGCGGAGGCGAGCAGCGCTGTCGCTTCGCCGCGTGTCTTGGGCAGGGGCTCAGCTGAGGGGTCTCACAGCGGAAGCCCATGCCGAGGAGCACCCTGCTTGCCTCCAGGGTGCCCTGCGTGTCTTGGGTTCCGATGGCTTCGCGATGGAAAGCGTGACGCTCCCACACCAAAAGTCAGCGGACGTCCTGGGGTCTCAGGGTTAGGCTGCTTGTGGAAGGTTCCCCAATCAGTGCTTGCACTGAAGGGGGTCCCAGCGGAAGTTGAAAGTGAAAGAGTTGGCGAAAGTTTCCCGCCGATTTTGGTAGCCGGTTGGGTTCCCCGGTTCCGGGTTTCCGGGTTCCTGGTTCTTGGCTCCGGGCCGATTCCGGTGTGTTGCGGGTTCCCGGGTTCCCGGGCTCCCAGTCGATCTCCTTCTCGAGCTCAAGCCATCCATTGATGGAGGTTTCTCCTTGGTGCACTCTTCTCGTGGCCGAGCTCCTATACGGCACCTCGCAGTGAGGGTGCGAGGTGGCTCCGCGGCTGCCCCGCGGAGCCCACGTCCTCCGACCTCTCGACCTCCTGCTCCCCGCCCACCGTTGGGCTTCCTGCGCCCTCCCGTCTCCCCCTCGCCGGGGCTCGCTTCGATTCTTCCCGGTACGATGCGATTCGATTTCGATTGTGTTTCCGCTTCCGATTCGATTCCACTTCGGATTCCGATCCGGACTCCGATTCCCTACTGGAGGCACACTGTACCTGCCGATCTCTGCCGATTCGACTCCTCGCGACTCGGCGGCCGAGTTCCGCCGATCCGACTCGTTCCGACCGCCGATGCGACTTATCGATCCGATTCTGGGCTCTCCTGCATCGCCGTCCACACCCTTTTTCCCTCGTGCCCGCGCTCGCCCCTGAGCCCGTTACCCCCTTGCCGTATCCTCCCCCGTCTCCCCAAAGCCCTGCCCAATTGCCTCCTCCCCTTCACCGTGCCCCCATCTCTGAGCCATTCTCTCCGCTTTTTCCCCCCCGTTCCTGCCATTTTACCTTCCGCTCCTACGGCTCCATTACACGATATGAATTCGACTCTCCTCTCTCCCCTAAGTCGGTCGGAAGAGTGCCCCGTCCTCTCCGCGTATGGTTTCTATACAGGATGCCATTACGTGTGTTCTTTGCGTTTTTTTATCTGGTCGTTCCTGGCTCTTCTGAAATAGTGATCCCGCTGCAGCGCCGCCCTCATTTCTGCGCTTCGGCCATTCAACCGCATGCTCCCGCTGAGGCGCTGGCTTTGTTCCCGATCCTTCGGCCGGCACTTGCCATTCGAAAGCGCCCACAACGGGCAGGCGCGGTTGCGGAGGTCATCAAGCCGGTATTCCGGACATGCCCTGTTCTCTCGCAGACGGGCCATGTATTCTCCAAGTCTTCCAGCGCCATGCCACGGCTTGCAATGCGATGTTGTGTTGTGCACCGCTGTGCGGTGCCATGCTTTGCGTTGCTGTGCTTTGTGATGCAATGCTTCACTATGTAATGCCACGCCATGCTATGACATGCGATGCTCTGCCTTGCTCTTCTACGCCATGCTTTTCCATCCATCGCGTACCCTCTTGGGATCATTGCCCTGCTCGACATCCGACTGTGCGAATCGATCGGATATCTACGCCTTGGGAAGGGATGCAAGGGAAAGGTAAGACGTCAGATGTGACGCTAGCGCACCTGGCTTGCCGTCATCCCCCTCCCTGCCCTCCTCCCTCTTCTCCTGTGCCAATCCCCACTACGCCCACCCGCTCCCTGCCGCCCCCCCTCCCCCGTCCCTCCCCTTTCTCGACCTCTCGATCCCCCTCTCGACCTCCCTCTCGACCTCCCTCGACCTCCCTCGACCTCTCGATCACCCTCTCCACCTGCCCTGTCTCGTCCTTTCGACACTTTCCCGCCGCCCCCCCCCCACTGGGCGCGGCGTCGGCGGGGGGTGGGGGGCAGCCGCCGGTGCACCAGCCCCTGGTGGTGCCTGCGCGCGCGCCTCGGCGGCACACCGATCGCGCGATCGCCCGACGGTGGGGACACGAGAGGCGGCCGCGGCGGCGAGGGCGAGGACTTCGACGACGGACGTCGACGCCCGCCGCCGGCGCGGGCGATGGCCTTCGTGGGCGAAGGGCAGCTCCGTATCCGCGGCCTCGCGGGCCGGGCCCCTCTGGGCCGCGACCCCGCGGACACGGGGCGTCTTTTCTCGCGGATACCCCGTGAGAAACGTATCCGTGCGACCGCGCGCGCAATACATATATATATATATATGTATATGTATATCTGTATATATACGTATATGTATATATACACTATATATTTTCTATATTCCAATATATATATATGTATCCGTACATACATACATACATACATACATACATACATACATACATACAAACATACATGCATGCATGCATGCATGCATGCATACATACATACATGTATATATATGTATATATATGTGGTAGTATATGTGTACATATATATGAATGTATATATATATATATACATATATCCACGGGGTCGCGCCCCGGAGGCTCGCCGCTCGTGCGGGGCCTCGGCGGCGGCGGAGCGACGGCTCAGCGGCGGCGGTGGAGCCGGCGGCAGGGCGGTCACGGCGGCAGCGGCTGCCCCGGCGACTGCTCGCGCGGTGCTCGCGCGCGCTCCGCCCGCGGAGGCCGCGGAGCGCTCCGCGTCTCGGGGCGCGCCCTCGCCACGCTCCGGGCCGCGGGGGCGCACAGCTCCGGCGGGGCCGGGCCGGCGCGAGGGCGCGAGCCAAAAGAGCCGGTTTTTTTTTGGATTCAGGCAAGTTTACTTGCATGGCGTTCGCCCCCCCCCCCCCCCCCCCTCGCCCCTCTTCAAGCGAATACTAGCGTGCAAGTGCCTTTCGACTTGCGTGATTTCCGCGCCCCCCCGAACGTGCAAGTCGTTTGCGGCTTGCTTCAGGCTCAGCCCCCCCCCCCGTCCATGCAAGTAAACTTGCCAGACTTTTAAAAAAACAGGCTCAAAGCAGTGTCAAAAGCAGTGGCGAAGCGTTCTGGCTCGCCCATATAGCCCTGCCGAGCAATGTTCTGAGAGCCTTTTGGCGGCTTCCACGACATGTTCTTCGAACATTTCCGGCTGGGATTGTCCTGTTTTAACACATCGGCTGTTTTTGCTCGAAGAGCAGTGTTTTTGTTGTTAGAGCATTTTGGGGGTTCTAAAAACGCTTCGTGGTAGGACTATAGGAATGCCAGGACGGTCGGCCCCTGCTCAAAGCAGTGGCGAGACGCCCTGGCTTTCCTGGCTTGCCTGGAGGCCCACCAGGTGCTGTGTTAGGATCTTCTGTGGCTGGCACCCGGGATGCTCTCAGAACAGTTCTGACTGAGACCGTCCTGGTTGTTTCTCATTGCCCAGACCCCCCACGTCATGATTTTTTCTCATGACGTAGACCCCCAGCGGTCTGGACCGGACCCATGCCCCTGGACCGGTTTTTCGTCCTGAGCCGTTTTTTGACGGTCCCGAGGGCCGGTGAGCGCCCCCAGAGGCCGGTGAGCGCCCCCATGGGGTGAGCGCCCCCAGAGCGCCCCCCCCCCCCCCCCCCCGGAAAATTCCCCGTCGTGATTTTGTTCATGACCCGAGGGGGTCTGGGTATATTTGAACCCTGCCCGTGGTCTTAGGACGCTCCTGCATTTTCTGCGGGCGTTCCGTGGTAGACCTGATTGCAGGCATGCTGGGGCGGTCGGGCGTTGCTCGGCGGCGCGCCCGGGGGGGGGAGGGGGAAGTGCGAGGGGGCGGGCCTGCAGAGAAGGCGCGGAGGTCCGCCGACCATCCGAGCTGCTTCTAAGCTCAAATTGGGCCTGTCCCTCTGCAGGGGGAATATTAAAAATAGTCAACAACTCGTGTGGGGACGAGTTGCTTTATTATTTTGGCAATGTGTCAGCACGTTCTGACAATTGTAAATGGTTCGTCCAAAGTCCGCCTGTAGAGGGAAATGCCCGACCTAGTCCTGAGCCTTTCCCGAAGACGCGGAACACTTCTCAGAAGGCGCGCGAGGGCGTCTGTGAGAGGCCCCTTTCCCGCCTCACTTCCCCCCCCTCGCTCGCCGCCGATGGCATCCTCCTTCACCTCCCGCCTCCTCCTCCTCATTCTGCTTCACTTCTTCCTCCTCCTCCTTGTCCTCCTCCTCATCGTCCTCTTCCTCCTCGTCCTCCTCCTCCCTCTCCTTCCCCCGTCCTCCTTCACCTCCCACGGAACACTCTGTGGTATAGGCCTCTTGGAATGCCAGGGCGGTCGGTCCCCGCTCCCAGACCCCCGACGCCATGATCTTTCCTTGGCGTCGGCCCCCCGCGGCCTCGACCCCTTCCGCGGGACCGATGATTCATCCTGAGTCGCTTCTGGGCGGCCCCCCAGGGCCGGTGAGGGCTCCCAGCGGCGGAACAACTCGCCGTCGTGCTTTGTCGTGCCTCGAGGGGGTCTGGGCTCAAGAGACCCAGACATGCGACGCCCTGATGTTTCCAGGACGGCGCCCCCGGGAGTCCCGACCCCGTCCCCGGGACCGGTTTTTCGTCCTGCAGTCCTCTGCTGACGGTCCCGCGAGGCCCGGCGAGGGCCCCCTGGGGCCGAAAGTTGCCACAAACCTCCCGTCCGGATTTTTTTTTACCGACGCAATCCTGTCCGGGGGGAGGAGGATCCCACAGATCCGATGTCGTGTTTTTTTCCATGCGGGGTCCCCGAAGTCTCCACCCGTTCCCCAGGACCGGTTTGTTCTTCCTGCTGCGTTTTTGCTTGACGGCCCCGGGGCCCGGCGAGGGCTGCCAGACACCGAGAGTTGAGAAAAACCTCCGTCTTGATGCTTTCAGTGCGTTGGATCGGCGGTGGACAAACCTCCCTTTCGTAAACCTCCCCTAAGTGACAACGGCCTGGGACCGAAACCGACCCACCTGGACCCGCAAAAATGACGGCCGCGACGCCCTCTCGCGAACCGAAAACGGCCAATTCACTAATCGACGTGTCAGGGTACGAGGTCTGTCCACCCCCGAATGGAGGCCTGGCAGCGCGACCCGCTCGCCGCGCGGGCCCGCGGGCCGCCGCCGCCGCGAGGCGCGGCGAGGCGCAGCGAGGCCCTGGCTCGGCCCTGGTCGTGGCCGTGGCCGGCCCGCGGCGGGCTTCGCCCGGGCGCGCCGGCATGGCGTCGGGCGGGTGGGGCGTCGGGCGATCAAGCTAAGCGATGGCGAAGCGTTTTGGCTCGCCTATAGCCCTACCAAGCAATGTTCTAAGAACCTTTTGTGGTTTGCGCGAGGTGTCCTTAGAACATTTCTGGCGTCTGCACGAGCGAAGTGGGCACGGAAAGAAGGGGCACAAGGCCCAGCAGCGGGTCCTGTTCATTGTGAACAGGACTCGCTGTCCACGCCGCCGCGGCCTGTGTCCATTCGAGGCAGAAGGCCGCCTGCCCCACAGCGGCCGCTGTTGGTTTGGAACAACATTTGCTGTTGGGCATTGTACCCATTCTTTCCGTACCCATTTCGGGCGTCCAAAGAGCAATGGCGAAGCGTCTTGGGTCGCCTATAGCCCTACCAACCAATGTTCTAAGAACCTTTTGTGGTTTGCGCGAGATGTTCTTAGAACATTTCTGGCGGAGTCTGTATTGTTACATCGGGTGAGCGTTCTAAGAACATTGTCTTTATTATTAGAACAGTCTTGGATACCATTTCTTTATTGCTTGGGGCATGACGGGCGTCATGGCCCCCGCGCCCCCCCCTATGACGTAACGCTCCCGCCCCCAGTGCGCTCGGGGCACTGCCGCCGTGCGTATTGGGATCCGCGTAGGTGTCCGCGTAGGAATCCGCATAGGAGTCTGGTCCGCAGTCGTCGTCGTGGCTCGTGGCTCGTCGCTCGTCGCTCATCGTCGTCGTGCACGCGGACGCGTCTGGAGCCTGTTTTTTGATTCCTGGCCGGTGGCGGCAATCATTTGGGGGGGGTGGAGGGGGTCGATGACGTCACGCTTCGCGCCAGCGGCGCCTGGGAATGCCTAGGAATGACGGAGGACGGGTGGCACCAACGTGTGGGTGGCGATATGCACCACAACGCCTGTGTACACTTCAGTGCTTGCGTGCACCACAGCGCCTGTGTACACCACACCGCCTATGTACACCACAGCAGCCGCGTGCAACACAGCGCCAGTTTGTGCCACCGCGCGCGCGGGCACAACAGCTCTTGTGTACACTACAGCGCTTGCGTACACCACATCAGCCGTGTGCGACACAGCAGTGTACACCTCAATGCCTGCGTGCATTGCAGTGCCTGTGTACACCACGGCGCTTGTGTGCACCACACCAACCGTGTGCAACACAACACCACTGTTGTATGTAGAATGTTACAAGGAACTATTATGACAAAGTGGAGCGTTTGTGGATTCCACCGAAAACACCCGAAACTAATTCTTTTGGACAGGGGGGCGCCAGGGGAATCTACGAGACCTTCCGAGTTCGCCCGCATCACCGTAACTCCTCCCATCTGCCTCCAGGAGGCTCCAGCTAAAGTGGCCGTCCGAGAACCAAGTGGGCCGATTCAATAAACCATTCTGCGGTGGACGCTGGGTTGCGCACGTGCGCTGTAGCGCCAACCTGCACGACAGGAGGTAAGAAGAGGAGGAGGAGGAAAAGGAAGACAAAAAAGGAGGAGGAGGAGGTGGAAGTGGAAGAGAAGGGAAGAGAGAAAAACGTCACATTCGATTATCAGCACTTTCCTGGCGTGGCGCTTCCGCAGCAGATCCTCACGTACAGGCTTCTTCTACCTGTCCTATGCACGCAGGCACTGTGGTAGCGCTGCGTTGCACGCGGATGCTGTGGTGTAGACAGGCGCTGTGGCGTGCACATGCGCCGCGGTGCATGCAAGCATTGTGTTGTACACAGGCGCTGTGTTGCACATGGTTGCGTTCGGTTGCACATGTACACCGGCGCTGTAGTGTACGCAAACACTGCAGTGTACACAGGCGCTGCGTTGCACACGGTTGTTGAGATGTACGCAGGCGCTGTGGTGTACACGCGCGCTGTGGTGCACGCGAGCGCTGTGGTGTACACAAGCGCAGGGGGGCTGATCGCCACCTACATGCTGCTCGCGTCGTCGTTGTCGTCGTCGTCGTCGCTTGTCGGTCGTCTCGTCGTGCGCGCGGGCGCGGCTGCGGTGCCGGAACCACACGGCGGGGGGGGGGGGCGTTACGTCATACCATACCCCCCCATGACGCCCGTCATCGCCGAAAATAAAGAAACGCTATTTTGGATTCTAAGAAGATTGCGTGGTAGGACTATAGGAATGCCGGGACGGTCGGTCCCTGCTCAAGGCGAGCGCCCGGGTGGCACCGTCAACGAGAAGTCCCCAGACAGGCTCCTGTCGTGACAAATGTTAGGGCGGGAGGTTTTTGGCAGTTTTCGGCCTCGGGGGGCCCTCGCCAGCCCTCGGGGGCGTGAAAAAATGACCCAGGACGAAAAACCTTGTCCCGGGGAAAGGGTCGGGACTTCCGGGGACGCCGTACGGGAAAAATCAGGACGTCGCATGTCTGGCTCGGGCCTGTCCCTCTACAGGGGGAGTATTCCCAAATAGGCAAGAAATAGTCGGGGGCGATTTTTCTATTATCATTTGTTGTTGCCGTATATATGCATATCGTAATGTACCTATTTTTTAGTTCCATACATATATATGTGTGTTGCTGACTATGTTTCGCTGTTCGTCAAACCGCCTGTGTAGGGGGACAAGCCCGACCTGACTCCAGCGCGCGGCAGGCACCGCCGGGGTGTGGGGGGTGTTGGGCGAGCGCCCGGGCGGCACCTCAGAGGAGGAAGAAGTTACCCTTCGTCCTTCCCCCAGGCCCCCTCGAGTTATGACAAGAATCACGACGGGAGGTTTTTGGCAGTTTTCGGCCTCAGGGGGCCCTCGCCGGCCCTCGGGATCGTCAAAGGACGGCTCAGGATGAAAAGCCAGTCCTGGGGAATGGGTCGAGATTTTTGTGTGGGTCCACGCCATGGGAATTCATGACGTCGGAAGTCTGGGCCATTTGCTCGTTTTGCCCTTTTTGGACCTCCTGGGAGGCCCTCGTGGCCACCGCTGGATTCGCCTCGAGATCCTGGTCAGAACACACCCCAGGAGAGGTCCGGGGAGTAGTGGCATCGGCACCTTTTAGTATCCCCAACTCCAGACCCCCCATGTCTTCAATGTTTCATGACGTGGACCCCCTGCAGCGGTCTGGGCCCATTCCCCTGCACCGGTTTTTCGTCTACAAGTCGCTGTTGACAGTCCCGAGGGCCGGCAAGGTCCCCGTCGTGATGTTTTCATGTCGTGAAAGCTTCCCCGTCGCGAAGAGCAGGAGGCCGAAGATAGTGAAATTTTGTCGTGCTGTCTTCATGACCCGATGGGGTCTGGGAGATCTGCGATCCAGGGTCGCGGTGGCCGGTGGTGCTTTCGCAGAGGCGGCGGCGTGGTATGTCGCGGTCGCGTGGTCGCACGGTCCGCGCGGTCGGCGCCAGCGCGGCCCGAGATGTGTTCGGCCGGGCACTGCGCGGAGGCACCAGCCGACCAGCATGCCGGCCACGCTGTCCGAGTCGATCGCACGCGCCAAGGCCGCGGCGGAGGCGTGTGCGGCAGGGGCAGGGGCAGGGGCAGGGGCAGGGCAGGGAGGAGGAGGGCAAGAGGGGAAGGAGGGTCCGGGCGCCAGCGTTCCTGCGGGGCGCCCTCGGCTGAGGTGAGGGGAGGGGGAAGAGGACTGGTAAGAGTAAGGCTGATGGTGGTTCCAGGAGTGGGAAGAGGAGCGGGAGGGCGGAGTTGGAGGAGGACAGGAAGAGGAGGAGGAGGAGGAGCAGGGGAAGGATGAGCTGGAGTGGGAGAGATCAGGAGGAGGGGCAGCTGTGGCGGGAGGAGGAGGAGGAGGGAAGAAGAGGAGGCGGAGGAGAAGCTCCAGAGGGAGGAGAGGGAGTTGCAGCAGGAGGAGCTCCAGGAGTTAAGCGACGACCAGGAAGAGGACGACGAAGAGACGGAGGAGGTGGCAGAGATAGGGCTTCAAATTTTATCGAAGACGCCTACGGCGAATCACCGCCGCCCCCTGCCTTTTTGGAAGCGCCTATGTGGCCGAACGTTGAGGCCAGACCTGCCAAGCTATCGGACCACGTGTTCCCCGAATCGGTTTGGAAAGCCTTCGGGGAACACGTGGGCATCTTGAAGGTCATCTTGGCCGTCTTGGAGGCCTCTTGGGCAAGCTTTGGGCGATCTTTGGGGCTTTTTGGGCCGTCTCGGGCCAGCTTCGAGCCAACTTCGGCCATCTTGGTGGGTTCCTGGCACGTCTGAAGCCGTCGGAAGCCGTTTGGGGGGCCTCTATGGGCCGACTTGGGGCCCGCTTGGAATGCTCCAGGGCCGTCTTGGAGGCCATCTTGGGCGTCTTGGAGGCCATCTTGGGCGTGTTGGAGGCCTCTTGGGCCCTCTTGGGGCCCTCTAGGGGCCATCTTGGAGGCCACTTGGGCCATCATGGGGCTCTCTTGGGGGCCTCTTGGGCGATCTTGGGGGCTTCTTGGGCCGTCTTGAGCCGTCGGAGAGCCGAAAAGGCGCAAATGCCAAAATCCTTCAAAAACCAATGGAAAATCAATGATTTTGGCCTCTTCGGACTCTCCTGGAGGACCTCTTGGAGGCCTCTTGGGCCGTCTGGGAGGCCTCTGGGGGGCCTCTTGGGCCGTCTTGGGCCGTCTTGGACTCTCTTGGGCCGTTTTGGAGGCCGTCTTGGACCATCTCGGGCGGACTTGGAGGCCATCTTGGGCCATCTTCGCGATTTTTTGAGGATGTCCCAAGCGAAACGGCCGTTTTTGGGCATTGGCAGATGGATTTTGGGAAATTTGCGGGTGGCCGGCGGGACGGGCCGAAGCCCACTGCGGAGTTCTTTTAGAAAAAGAACCAAAACCAAAACCTGAAACGTCCAGCACGCCGTGCACCCTGGCAGAGATAGGGCTTCAAATTTTATCGAAGACGCCTACGGCGAATCACCGCCGCCCCCTGCCTTTTTGGAAGCGCCTATGTGGCCGAACGTTGAGGCCAGACCTGCCAAGCTATCGGACCACATGTTCCCCGAATCGGTTTGGAAAGCCTTCGGGGAACACGTGGGCATCTTGAAGGTCATCTTGGCCGTCTTGGAGGCCTCTTGGGCAAGCTTTGGGCGATCTTTGGGGCTTTTTGGGCCGTCTCGGGCCAGCTTCGAGCCAACTTCGGCCATCTTGGTGGGTTCCTGGCACGTCTGAAGCCGTCGGAAGCCGTTTGGGGGGCCTCTATGGGCCGACTTGGGGCCCGCTTGGAATGCTCCAGGGCCGTCTTGGAGGCCATCTTGGGCGTCTGGAGGCCATCTTGGGCGTGTTGGAGGCCTCTTGGGCCCTCTTGGGGCCCTCTAGGGGCCATCTTGGAGGCCACTTGGGCCATCATGGGGCTCTCTTGGGGGCCTCTTGGGCGATCTTGGGGGCTTCTTGGGCCGTCTTGAGCCGTCGGAGAGCCGAAAAGGCGCAAATGCCAAAATCCTTAAAAAACCAATGGAAAATCAATGATTTTGGCCTCTTCGGACTCTCCTGGAGGACCTCTTGGAGGCCTCTTGGGCCGTCTGGGAGGCCTCTGGGGGGCCTCTTGGGCCGTCTTGGACCATCTCGGGCGGACTTGGAGGCCATCTTGGGCCATCTTCGCGATTTTTTGAGGATGTCCCGAGCGAAACGGCCGTTTTTGGGCACGGTGGCGGGACGGGCCGGAGCCCACTGGGGAGTTCTTTTGGAAAAAGAACCAAAACCAAAACCTGAAACGTCCAGCACGCCGTGCACCCCTGCAAGCAGGGGGCGGCGGATCCATGGCCTTCGGCCCATCCCGCCACCGTGCCTGAGTTGTGGGTCAGAGTCGTCAGGCATGGTCGTGAGTTTTCTTCTGAGAAATCTCAGGAACCTCCGTTGGGAGAGTTTGGAGCCTCCGGGGACCCTCTCGTGCAGCGTTCGTGGGGACCGCGACTTCGTTGCGTGTGTCGTGGGCCAGAACTTTCGTGGATTGGGTCCCTTCGCGGCTGTCGTGGGTGTGTTCTTGGGGGGCGTTTTGGAGTCGTCTTGAATCTTCTAGGTGGGTTCCTGGGGGCTTTGGGGGTCTCTTGAGGGTTTCTTTAAGGCTTCTGGGGAGTTTCTGGGGGCTTACTGGGGCGGAGAGGGTTCGTGCTCTCCCTCTGGGGCTCCTCCTGGGACGATCGTTGGGCCCTGCCGAGCAATCTTGGAGGCCTCTTGGACTGTCTTGGGGACCTCTATACCCCTCTTCATCTTGGGGGCCTTTTGGCCTGTTCTGGAGCGTGGGGAACCTGAAAAGGCAGAAACGCCAAACATGTTCGAAAGCATCATTAAACTCAATGTTTGTTTGCCTCGTTGGGCCTTCGTGGGGGTGCTGTTGGAGGCCTGCTGGGAAGTCTCGGAGGCCTCTTGGGCCGTCTGGGGGCCACTGGCCGCGTCTTTGAGCAATGCTTCGGCGAGTCGGGGCTCTCTTGGAACGTTTTCGGCGGGCACATCGTCCAGATGACCCCCAGGAAACATCTCAGAATTCACGGGGGCCGCCCGAGACTGCCTGGGAAACGATTGGTCCAGGCCCTAAGAGATTCACAATTTTGGCTGCAGCGCCCGTGCTGAGTGAGCCTTGGGGCTCTCCACTTCGTGCCAGAGGCACGTTGGCGGATGACGGGAAGCGCTTCTGGCGTGGAGCTTTGTTATGAGTTAAGGTCAATTTTCCTTTGCGAATGGATCCGCGCCGAACTTGGAAACTCGCTGGCGGATGACGGGAACCGCCTTCTCAGGACGAGAAGGTGAGGGGAGTTTGTTAGAGGAAGTTGAGTAATGAATACATAAACAACTAAGACGCGAGAGACCCCTGATTGTGCGGTGCAAACGGTAATTCGCTTGGCGGATGACGGGAAGCGCCTTCTCGGAACGAGAAGGTGATGGGAGCTTGTGAGGAGAAGCTGGGTAAGGAATGCATCATAAAGAAGTAAGACGCGAGAGACACCCGGCTGAGCGGCGAAAAAGGCAACTCGATTGGCGGATCCCCCCTCCCCAAACGGCCGTGTGCAATGAGATGTTGAGAGAGTCGTTTTATGCGGTATGTCGAACACGGGGCTCTCGTTTGAGACATCCTTGTAACATGGAGATGTTGAAATCGCTGGCGAAATCGCATCGATCTATTGGCCGCCTGGGGGCATCCTGCAGCTCATGGGGCTTTGTCTGGCGGTTCTTGGTGGCCCTGGGCGTCGCCCGCAGGTTGCTTGTATACCCGCCTGACAGCCCGCCTGACCGGTTCAACCTGTCCTGCTTTGGCTTAGTGGTTGCTTGTGGTTGTGTTGGTCAGCTGTGCCACGTGAACTCTGTACGGGTGCGTGCGTATGGGCGTACATGCGCGTGTGCGTATATGCCTGTCTGTGCCTGTGTCCAGTGTGTGTGCCTGTGTGTGCCTGTGTGTGCGACCGAGTAAATGTATGCAGGGGCACAACGCCAGGTTGTGTACAATGACACGCGCAACACCTGACCAAAGCAACCGCATGCAACCACTCAACACGAGTTGCGAACGGTGACCATCTGGGCATTTAGGGGGCCCTGGCTACTGCATCCATGTGCACTCATGCGCGTTGGTTGCATATCCATGCGCGCGCACACACGCTCAGTGAAGCGGCGCTTCCCGTTCTCGTCTGGAAAGGTCCCCCCCAAACGAAACGGCCGTTTCGCTTGAGACATCCTCGGCTAAATGAGATGTCCAAGGAGTTGCTTCAACACGTTTTATGTGAAACATGAGGCTCTCGTTCGAGACATCTTCCGAACAATTTTATCTCCAGGAATCTTGCGAATTCGCCCAATCTCAAACATGAGGCTCTCGTTCGAGACAGCCGCGACAAAAAAAGGGACAGTCGATGACCTCCTGCTTCAAGGCGTCTTCTGTTCAACATGGGGCTCTCGCTCGAGACATCCTCGAAACAACGAGGAGAGGGAGGAGGAGGAGGAGGAGAAGGAGGAAAAGGAAAAGAAGGAGCAGGAACACGAGGAGGAGGAGGAGGAGGAGGAGAGGAGGAGGAGGAGGGGTTGGAGGAGGAGTAGGAGGAGGAGGAGGAGCAGGATCAGGAGCATGAACAGGATGATGATGATGATGATGATGATGAGGAGGAGGAGGAGGACGAGGACATTAAAAGTTCAGTGCATTTGCTGCGGCTTCGTGCTCACATGTGGTACGTTTGCTGCTGAGTGCGTTTGCTGCGATGGTTTGGTGTAGCTGCTGGTGGCTGTTGAACTGTGGGCACGTTTGCTGCCGTACACGCCCGCGCACACGCACACACAGGCACACGCAGGAAACGCACGCACACCCACACACACATGCACACACACACATGCACCCACATGCACACATGCACATGATGCGCACACGCAAGCATAGGCCACGCGCAGCACCTGATCAAAGCAGCCGCAGGCAACCATTCAACACGAGTTGCCAACGGTGACCATCTGGGCATCTAGGGGAGCCCAGCGACTGCATCCATGTGCACTCATGCGCGTTGGTTGCAAGTCCATGCGCGCGTGCGCACGCAAGCTCAGAGAAGCGGCGC